GGATTTTGTAACAATAAAAGTAAATCTGCAAGTAAATGTTCAAGTTTATCTAAGTATGTTTCAGAGACTGTTGGTGATAGTATAGATGTTGTGTGTAGAATATTTTCTGAGATTTCTATTGAGTTAAATAAATTATGTTTAAATGTTTTTTAGTTCTAATAGCCAAATTTAAGTATTTGGTTATTAAAAATTGTTTAATTAGAGTGTGGTTAGGAAGTAAGAGTTGGTTGTAAAGTAAGTATACATATACTTCATTAGAGGAGTAGTTAATTAAAAAGTAATATTGTTATTAAATTTTTGGTTGTTTAAATGGTCTAAGAATATTCTAAGTATTTGATTATAGAGTAGAAGTAGTAGGTTATAAAAGGAGAAAAATATGTTATAGCAGAAATTAAAGTTATAGGGCTTTAAAGATATTGAAGATGACTTCAATGATGTTTCTTCTACAAAGTTGCTCGCCATTTTAAGCTTAGTTTTCATCTGCGCAGAATTCCATAGTCTGCTTTGTATGTTGAGTCTAACTGTCATATAAATAGACCTCCGCGTAAATAGGCTTTACTGCTCATCTATTTACATCATTCCTTTCATTAAATACAACAGTTGTATTGATTAATAAAGTAGTGGCTGCATTAATGGAGTTTGTAGAAGAAACGTTTAATAAAAAGAATTAAATAAGTGAGATTGAGGAGTGTTAGATAGAAGTGTTTTAATATAGACTTGGGAGCATTAGGAGGTTTATTGAAAGCAGTAGTTAAGTCATTATCTATTAGCATATTGTCATCAGAATTAGATGTTTGATCTTTGTCTAGTGTATTAGTATTAGGAGAAGATGCTTCAGATGTTTTAAAGAGGTAGGAGTCATCAAGATTTTTAATAAGAGTAAATTGAACTTTGAATTTTTCTAGTAGAATCTTTTCTGTTTGTGGATAGAAGTTAAAAATATATTTTTTGTGAATTTGAGAAATTGTAACTTTTTCTTGATCCAGAATATAGTAAAAGGTTAAGATTCTAGCAAGAAAGTAGATATTAATAGGCTTGCTTGTAATTTTTTGTATAGCTTGGTTGGAGCTAAGACTAGAAATATCATCATTTTTTGCAGCTGCCCTAAGGTAAGCTCTGTAGTAGCTGTAAAAATAAAATCCCTTTCTGCAGTCATCAGTTTCTACTTTGTTGTCTTTAATGAATTGTTTCTCGATATTTGTAGCAAGTTTGTGTAAAAAGTTGGTAGGTGTTGGGTTTTGAAAGGTTGCTAGATATTTATTATCTGCATTGAATATAGAAAAGTCTAGAGTAGGGTGTTTTAGTTTTGGTTTAAAAAGTAGATTGGTAGTAGATGTTGAGGGGAATTTAGCAAAAGATTTGGTAAGAAAGAGAGATGCTAGATTTTTAAAGTTGTATTCTGTGTTGTTTAGTAAAGTTTGGCATGGATTGTCCTTATTATATGTACAGGTATGTATGTAGTAGAGTGTAGCCTTGGTGCAGAAAATAATATATTCTTTGTATGAAGAAATAGAATGGATAGTAAAAGTTTTGGAAAGAAAGCTTTTGCAGATATCTGCAAGCTTAGTTGCAATCTGATACTTAAGAAAATTATAGGTCTTCTTTTTATCTATTTTAAAGAATTGACATTAATAGACTTTAAAGAAAGATTCAAACCAGGTGTTAAAGTTAGTTATATACGGAAGTCATTTAAGAATTGTGTTTTAGGTATATTGAAGGAAACATTAATATTAAACTTATTATTATTTTAAATTTTAAATAAGGGTTGGTTTTTCACATCGATAGAAGTGAAGTAGTGGAGATTGAAATGAATAGGACATATGTTTAAGTCTTAAATGAATTTGGCTCTATTGATAGTTTGGTATTTGTTATTAAGGAAGAGATAAAGTCAAGCAAAGCTAAGTGCAATATTATAGCAATTAGAAGTAGAATAAGGTGGAATTGAGTTGTGAGATGCAAAAATCTTTGAATAATTAAGTTTAGTAAATAGAATGTGAATAAATTTAGATAAAATATTTTTAAAAGAAATATGTAATATTTCAAATGGGATGGTAATATCTTTGTTAACAGATGAGTGTTGTTCATAAATTAGTTCAGTTAAAAACTTGGGTTGTTGTCCTGCTATTTGTTTAATTAAGTAGTTGAAGCTATATTTAACATCTGGTCTGTTTACTTTCTTGTTGATTTGTCCTGGAGTGAAATCAACAAGAAAAGGTTTAACAAACTCAAAGATTTGCTAGCAAATGGTGTATTAAATTTAGTAAAGGGCTCCATTATGGAGGTAATAGGATAGATTTTAAACCAATTAAGATCATTAGATGTATCTCGTTTAGGTTGCTTAAAATTTTGTTTTTCTTTAAATAATTGTAAGAAGTTTTTAAAGATATTCTGTTTTGTAGTTTTCTTTATTAGGGCAAATTTGATTGTATAAAATGCACTGCATACATTAGATATAAGTGGTTGAGTTTGAGGAATAGGTTGGAGGTTGAGTTTGTGAATATATGTGATATGAGCTAGATAACCTCTAAGGACTAGAGTAGCTTTACTCAAGAGCATATGTTTGTTGTCTTTTAGAAATGTATAAAGAATATCTTTAAGTTTACAAATAATACATGTATGAGCATGATGAGAGTATGCTTATATTTGAGATGTCTCAGATGATTTGCCAGATGTTGTAGTAGCAGAGTAGTTGAGTGAAAATGAAATAGTAGGAACAGATGTAGATTTGGCGATAGGAGATTGTAAAATATCATCTTTTAGACTTTTAACTTATTTGGCTGTTAAATCAATATTTATTGTTTTAGGTTGTTGAGAAGGGGGAGTAGCTTGTCTGGGTGGAATATTTAAGTAGCCTGAAGTAAAGAAGGTATGGTATTTTTGACAGAAATAATGAATAATAGCTGGTTTTTCAGGTGTGCAGAAGTAATAGAAAGTTTTAAGATCATTATATTTGCTAGAATTAAATGCAAAAAGCATTGCTTTTAGTGAACTGGATTGAGCATCACGAATCATTGTATTATATCAGTCACTATATTTATTATAGAAATAGTCTAGATCAAAATGGTCTAGTTCCTGGTCAGTTAAAGTAGGCATTTTAATAGTAGAAAAATTTTAAGTTTTACTAGAAAAAACTTATTTTTGTTAAATTTAACAAAGTTGTTTTTAGGGATTAAACTAAAAACAGAGATTAAATAGACTGCGGCTCACGTAGCTGGCAAGTGTAACTTTGTATAACCTTGTATAATAGCAGGATAGATATTTTGTGGCTGATGTGGCTGGTGTGTTTGTGTGACCTGATGTGATGTAATGATAGTGTAACAAAAGTTGTATAAAGTTATTAAAACTTAAATAGTAAATTAAAAAGAGATAAAAATAGATGAAACAAATAATGTTTTTGTATAAATTAATTAGTAATATTGATTTGTAATAGTGATCTGCAGATTTGGGCGTTCTAAAAGGCCAGGATCTTACCAAAAAAAACAAATTGTTGCAAAAAAATAGCAGAGAATTTTTGCAAGAGAGTTTGCAGAGTTTTGAAGACAGAAGTGTGAGTTTAAGTCTGTTTATTATATATTATATATTAAAACGAAGCTATAAATGAGCTTTATCTTTTCTATTAAGGAAGCAGTAGTGTTTATTTAATAAAATTTTGATATTTTTAAATAGAAATAAATTTGAATAAGTGTGTATATTTCTTTAGGGAATTGATATTTCCACACTCTTTTTTGATATTGCCACACCCCTGTTAATTCTAAACCCTAACCAAACCCTAATAATTTATATTGATTGTTATTAACAAGGGTGTGGCAATATCAAAAAAGGGTGTGAAAATATCAATTTTCTTTCTTTATAAAAGGGCTAAAAAGATACAATATAGAGCTGCCTATATATAAAATCTTGTGTAGAACAAGTTTACTTAGATAGCCAACTATAGTTTACTTAATAAAATTTTTCGAAAAAGCAAATTGTTTGTAGAAAGAATTTGGTACAAGTGATTATTGGGAAGAGTTATGTGTTCGGCCCCCCTCTTATATTATTTATTTATTTTTTTTTTTTTTAATCTTTAAAGGTGAGGCCATGCCTCTATCTTTATTAAAATCTAATTAAACTTCTTTACAAATAAAAATAAAGAAATTAGACTAGAGACTCAGACAGAGCTCTTGCTAACTCAAAGTTCTTATATTATTTATATATATACGTAATACATATTAATATATAATTAATATAATTAAAGCAATACAAATCTATAATAATCTCAGGATCCTGTAATTGAATTTTGATAATTTTGAACTTGTTAGAATCGTCTTATTGAGATAACCATTTTGGTGACAAAATCATTCAAAATGAATTACTAATTCAAAAGTTATTTAATATTGAAATTTAAAAATTTTTAAATTTTTAAAAAATTTTAACCAATCAAAATGTAGTATTTATAATTAGATAAGAGGTAAAGAGGGTAGCCACTTAGAACAACCTTAGCATTGCCAAAAAAAAATGGTAGCCGGATCCTTTTGCCGGCTAATATGTGATTTCGGATAACAATTACCAGGTAAATTTTCGATTTTTTTTTTTACGATTAAGATGTATAACGTTGATATTTTGTATGTTAAGGTATTATTAAAAACTTTAAAGTTAATGCATAAAAAACACTGGGCACTATTTCAGATACATTTTACAAATGTAAGAAAGTTTGATTGTATTAATGCTAATAAACAGCAAATTTAATCGAAGTAACAAATTGTTATCCTATAAACTTATTCAATTACATTTAGTTTTGCTGCAAAATACTAGGTGTATATTCTTTTGACTATTATAATTAGAAATACACTTTCATCCCTAATTGCTTGTCGCAAAAAAATAATGCTTAAAAGCTTATCATTCCCAATACATCGTATTGTTATTAAAGTCTTGCTATGTTCTTGGCATCATTTGTCGGTTATTTAGTAATAGAATGTCATTATTCATTTTTTCCAATAATTTAAAATTTGAACAAATATTTTTTAGCCATAAATGTCTTTTTGACTTGGTACGGGATTCTTCTAGAAACTCCTTGGTCTTAAAATGCAATTAAATTATTATTATTATTTTTTTAAAAAAAAATAATTAATGAAATTTAAATACCTTGTCTAAGACTTTATACAAATATGCCAATTCTGACTCATATATATCTTGTTTATTATCGCTATCTTCAATAATATAATTGTCTTCATGCTCAATAAGTTGGGCTTGAATTAATGGAAAAATTAAAGTTTCACGATTTTGCGAATCTTCCAAGTTAAACATGTTTACCAATTTGCCTTCATATGAAAATATTAATAGATAATTTCTATTTCGTTGCACCTGTAATATAAAATAATATGACATATATATAATAAATCTTAAATAAATAATTACTTGCCTTTTTAAAAAACATCAAATCAACTTTTTCAACGGAATTAACCAGATGCTTGCATAAAAAAAAATGGCTCAGGCTATATGCAAGACATGCACATATCCACTTAGTAGTATCTGTAAAGTACTTATTATTTAATTGTGTTTTTTGCTTCTCAAGTTATTTCCATTCTTTCTTAAACTCCTTTCGCCATGATACTGAATATCGACCTTGCTGAAGTAATTGAATTCGATATGCCTGCTGAGTAAGAACTTTCTTAACAAGAATAAAACATAAATGATCAATTCTAGGCTTGTGAAATTTATATAGATGATCATGCTTAATATGACACCAATGCATTTCAATAATCATAGTTGTTTTAATATAATAAATATTTTCATTAGCCGATCTAGCCCATAAGATCCATTTTTCCTTTGAATACCACCCTTTCCAAAGGTAGATCCACAATTTAAATAAATTGTTATTCTTGCAAAATTGAAATATTTCATTAATGCACTCTTTCCAAATTTCATTTGCATTCATAACAAAACTACCATCAGATTTTGGTAGTAACATATGCCGACTTGAATGGTTTTCTATAAATTCTATTACTGTTTTGCGTAATTTCAGAGGGCAAAAGCTTGTTGAGTTAATATTTATAGCTCCCCAATTAGAATCGATTAATGAACATTCCTCATGTGCAATTTTAGGATTATATATATAATATTCGCCTACTTTATTTGATGCCAACCGTTGTTTAATAGCACGACGTATATGCCACATACATAATTGTATACGAGCTTTTGGCCAAACTGTTTGTGCAGCATTTATTTCTGAAAAATCTTTGTCAACTAAAACAAGTGAAAAATTCTTTAAATGTTGTTCTTTTAATGTCTGCATTCAACATGTAAGAATTCTTGTTATATCTCGATTTTTTTCAGTTGAAATTAATAAATAGCTAAAAGGATACCCAGTACCATCGATCACACCCATAAGTGCATACAATTCCCATGATAAGTTATTTGTACCGTAAGTTGCATCAATTACTATTGCATCTAATTTACTGTAAATTAATTGGTGAAATAATGTTGTTAAAAATCCAAGGACAGGAATCGATGAATTAAGATGATCTAATATAATTTGTAAACTACATTCTTCTAATAAAAGTTTTGTAGATAATAAAGGATCTGAATGCCTACTATATATCTTTCGAGACTCTACTGACCACCAATAATAAATTTGTTGGACAGTTATAGATTCATATCCAGTGATTTGATTTTCACGAACTTGATGACAAATTTCAGAAAGAGAGCAATAAATGTGATCTTTAACAAACTGTTTAATTTCAGAAGACATTTCAACATGGCTTGGCCGTGGATGTAGCATTTTGTGAGAATATTTAACTACAATTAAATCTAACTCTAAAAAAATTTCTATGCTAATAGTTCCTTCACAATTATACCTTCTAAAAAAGTAGGTGTGTCTCTTTGTTTTTCTAAAACTGAATGTTTGGCTTGACGCTTTCCAAGTTTAATCTGGCAATTACAATAATATGTTAAAAGAAAAGAATTTTTTTTTTGATTCTTAGCATGATAAATTCATGAGTATCCATTACTTTCAGATATCAATTTAATTATGTAACGACCAAATTCAAGGTTAAAATTTTCTTTGTCAGAAAATTTATTTTCTAAAAGAAAATTTTGAAGAGACGAAAGCTCAATATTACAGTCAGGGATTTTACCAAATATGGAAATCGATTCTAGAATAATCTGCAAGAATTTGATTGGCTCTTGATCGACGCTTTTTACCATTTTTTTCAATCTTTCAATTGCGAATTTGAGATTTTTATAATATTTACATACAATTAAAACTATACAAAT